AAAAAAAAAATTTTTTATTATTTTTATTTTTGATAAAAATAGATCAAATATGAATTTATAAAATTTAAGCAGACAAATTTGTCTGCTTAAATGGATGGTTTAAGGAATAATATCTGAAATATTAGATAATACAGAAATAAAAATTTTTAGCTTTATTTATTTGAATCTAAAATTTTACTAAATTAATCAATTTTGTATATTAAGTAAAAAATGTTTTTATAAAATTTTGAGCAAAAGTATCTCAATAATGACCTGTTTATTTTATGCTATTTTCAAATTCTACAGACTAGTATAATTTGTAATGATCTTAAGCATCAAAATGACTGAGCTGATATTAAGAAATCTTTATTCAAAAGCTTAAACAATATATCCACAACTATATTAGAATTTCAATATTAGAACTAACTGTATTAAAATTTCAATATTAGAACTGGATATAAAATTTTAATATTAGAACTGAATACAAAATTAATATAAATTTTTAGCCAATTGCAGACTTGTATTATGATATTAAGATATCTTAATAATTAATATCTTAATGATCTGCTGGTTTAATACTTCAAAGCAATTATAATTAATACAATGTTTCAAGTTTACTAAAATTATCAATTTATCTATTATTAAATTTATTTATCTTAATTACTAAAAACTGGATAGCTTCACTGCCAATGTGTACTACTGGGTATTGGAATAAATTTTGGATTTTGATTACATCTTTTATATAATAAATATCCAAAAAATTCTGATAAGGCTATTTCAAGGCCAACTCCAATTTCAATAAACAATGCAACATTTGAACTAATACCAGTATTTGTATTATTTGAATTATTATTTGCATTATTTGAATTATTAGTAGCAGGAGGTATTTGGTCTTTAGGTTTAATCAGATTAAATGTTGTAACCTATGTATTGTTTTTGGTGTCAAGAATATAAAGCTTATTACTAAGGGGCAATATTGTGGATGTAGTTGAATCTTGACCTAAAATTACAAAATTAAAATAAATTACAAAAGTAAAATAAATTACAAATTTTTTAAAAGCAATAATAAAATAATACAATATAAAAGTTACCAAAAGCAACAATCATATAATCTCCATATAG